CAAACCAAGCTATCAAACGAGCAAACAAACAAAAAGATTTAAACTCATGTCCATCTTAAAAAAATGGCATTTGAAACCATGAAGATACTTTACTCTCACAGAATGGCTTAGAAATTGAAGGTTTGCAATTTCAGTTTGATCAACAACATACTTCAAAATGTGAATGACTGTACATTTTAAGGGCAATTACAGAGAAACTAGAAATAAAACATTATTTGAAAAATGGATTCATATTTTCAAAAATAATGTGAGATTTTAATTTTTTGTTGCTATCTGAGGACAATATTTTAAAAATCTCTGCAATATGTATCACATGACTCTCATCTTTCTGCCCAAACCTAATTGCAACTTCATTTACCAGCAAATACCACATATGCTCAAGAAGAGATGAAGGACACTACTGAAGAACAGGAAGCCTCCAGACACTTTGCAGGACAGATTTTCCACACTGTGTGTGGCAGTTTCTCTGAAACACCTTACAAGAGGAGATTAACTGGAACTGCCTCATCTCCCCAGCATCCTCCCAGGTCCTGCACAGGTTTTTTTTTTTTTTGCCCAATTTTTACAACATTTAGGACACAAATGTGACATCTGGGGATTTTCGCAATTCCTATCACTTCAATCTCAGTTGTCTCTGACATGACTCATGCACTAAGGTTACAGTGAAGAAACACAGACATTATCTGGGGACTGTACCAGCTTGGAGAGTTACAAAAAAAAATGTCATCTCCTTTCATAGTAACAGAGCAGAGGAAAGAGAGCAGAAAAAAGTGTGACTAACTGTTCCTAAATATACAGGCGATGTGAACCAGAAAAGTAGCTGTATTACTATGGCTGGGGAGTTCATAAATTTATGATTCACAGCATTACAGAGCCTATTTGGCATGCAAAAAGAGAAGATGATGAAAGGAATTGTTAGTCATGGAGAAAGAGCTAGACAGAACACACGGCGATGCTAACCCCTGGGAAAGGATGCATGTTCAAGTATGACCAACAACCTGGGAAAGGGAGTAAGGTCTTTTTTGGTTCATTTTCCAGAAGATCCTTCTTACTTTGGTAGGTAGAATAATTGAAAGAGTGCCTTCCTTCCTAGCCTGGTAAGCGCACCGTGAACTCCTGTTCTCTGTTCGAGCCTACCTCAAATGGAGGGGATGGCACAACATTCTTCAAATGTTTTCTGAAGCCAGATGACCTTATTCTGTCATAGCCGTACTTTTTTCTTTCCTCACTTTAGAAAGCATTTTAAGCAGGCAAAGGAGGAGAAAAGGACATAACAGTTAAGGTGTTCTACTGTTGTGGTGCAAAATGTCAGCATGCAATTGCTTAGACTACCACCGCTGAAATGCTTGCAGGTAGATTTTCTGTTCAACTTTCACCTCCTCAAAAACAGCAGTGTTCGAAGTAGGGATGAAGGAGAATGATTTGCCTTAGGGATGCCCTTGTCAACTCACGTGATTTCTGTTGAAAATGGTCTGGATCTAAAAGACCACAAAGGTGTTTGATGTTCTTCGTATAACCTTCAGCAAAAGAACTGGGAGAACAGTCACTGCTCTTGTGCGTTTGCATTTTCAATAACACACATGAAACAAGCTATGCCATGCCAGTTTGGAACAAGCTCTGTCCTGCCTTGATGTACCCATGCTGTGTCTCTTTCACTAGTGTGTGTGGGAAGAGGATGGGTGGGAAAGAGGGAAAATGACATAGGTGAGAAATAGGACTGGGGTTGGGGGGATAAGATAAGCAGAAAAGAAATGGAGAGTCGTATATAATCTGTTGAGCAGAAATAAGATGAAGAAGGAAGAGAAAAAAATGAGACAGAGAGGGAAAAGGCAATGGAGAGAAAAGAAGTGACAAGATACAGGTGAAAGTGAAACTGCAAATTCAGAAATCAAGCAGGCAAGCATGAAGAGAGATAAGAAAGGAAGAAAAATAATTGAGTGCACAAGGAAAATCAAGGAACACGTAAGATAACACTCCCACCAAAAAGGAGCTGAAAAGAGAAAACATAGGATAAATGAGACTGGTAAGATGGCAGAACGCAAACAAAAGAGGAAATATGGAACAGAATAGCAAAAGCTGCCTTTAATGCTGTTCCCAAGTAAGACATTTTGACAATTATTTGTTTTGATGTGGCCCTGTAGTTACTGTGATACAGTTGACTTCTGGCTTCAGACCAAAATTCTGAACATTAAGCAAAAGCAAGGCAAGTTGGGAGCGATGGCCACAACTGTGACTGTCAACCCAGGGTCTCCTGAGTGGGAGAATGACTGCACAGAAAATCTGTGGTAAAGCAGAGAACTGCAACATGGTTTACTTTCTCCTTCATGTTAAAAGTCCTTTTGCCTTTCCTTCTCTGCCATATGTGATGGATAGATCCCTCCTCTGCCACCATTACTCACCTCCAGTTTGGATACTAGCCCAACCAAAATCTAGAAATAATGGGACAAGAGTATGGTAAAAATTCAGTCTGCTGCCACTGGTAATTTCTCCAACACAGAGTATAGCTCCCTTTCTCCAATGTGAACAAGTGACTCCAAATTGTTTGGCTGCCTTCCTCCAAGGTAAGGACTCCCCATCAATCAAGGAACATAGACCCAAGTTATGAAATGCACTACAGCCAATAAGTCAGTACAAGTCAAGATAACAAAAAGCCAGTGCAAGTTTTTTTAAGGAAGATTTTGCATTTAAAAAAGATACAAAAATGAGGGATGCCATCACTGGAAAACTGTGTCAGTCCATGGGATGCTGTCATATCACAGTGCTTGCCATGGACGTCCTTAGTGCATCCATCAGGGTTTCTAAACACTACTCTAAATCACAAGGCGACTCCAAGGCTTCACAGTGTCAGCAATGCCTTGGTACTCTGCAACAGCCTTCCAGGGCTGCCAAACCACTCACTCACGCTGTGGAAATGTACCCGAATGCACCAGCAATCTCACTGAGTGCAGCAGGACCACTTATGAAATAGCAAACTATTCACCCGCGCAGGGGCATATCAACAGCTAGGTTAAAAACAACAGGACTGTCTTCTTCCACCTGAACAAAGAAGAGGTTTGAAGTTCAGTTCACAGTCCTTTCTGGAAGCCACTGAGGTGCCTGAGGGAGCAGGTTCTCCCGTCTCCTGCAAATCACTGAAAGTACCCACATGGGAAAGGGAACACAATATTAGCCAGAGTCTGTCCTCCTCTGAAATTCAGAAGGGAAGGATTTGGCACAAAAGCTGCAAATCTCACCGGTGCGTATTTTTTCCTTTTCATAAGATTGGTCATGTTCATGCTCAGCCTGAATTTTTCTAATTAAAACATCTCTAGTTCCTTTATAATATGAGTTAATAATAATGAATCACAGATAAGGATGATCCTAGTCTAAAGAGGCACAGTACAAGGCTTTGCTATAATCAAAGAAACTACTGTTATCTAGAGCCACGGAACAACCACGTTTAATTTTGCATTCTGCACTTTACCCCGAAGAAATACTAATTACACTCCTCCTTAGTTCCCTTGCATGGTGCCATTCAACACATGCACATCAGAAATGATGAATATAGACATCAAGTGAAGAGTAAGGATAATTTCCTGCAGTTGTTTTACAAGCAAGAGATTAAACTGCTACAACCCTGCAGAGTTTAAGCAATGTGCTTGTAATAAAACTGATGCTGTAGTATGTAATCAGAAGTCTAACATAAAGTTTGATATGCTTAATGCAGCATTCATATGTAAAATGTGTGCAGTGAAAACAGCTCGGCCCTCTAATTTCAGTCTATGTTCCAAAATGAAACCTCGGGCCAAGTGCCTCTACAGACTTGCTGAAGTCCTTGTCAAAGGACTGAGACAGAATTTCTGCAGGACAAAATCCAGGGTACCTTTGTGCAAGTAGCAACTCTTTGAAGTCCATCAGAAGAGAGATCTAATCTGAGGTCAGGTCAGATCAGCACATTACTTCCACATGTGATTGCATGTGGCAATCATAAGATCTATTATCTCAGTTATCCTGCTAATTCCTCAGTTTGTTAAATAATTCTGCACAGAGATATCTACCACATCATTTGATGTCTTCCTCATGTTACCAGCATCCCATAGATATTACCTCAGTTTTCCTACATGAAAGTAGTTGGGAAGAATACAGCCATGCAGCTCCATGGACCTTGCTAGGCCACATGCAAAGCGCTGGGATCTCAATGACCTGCCTGTTCTCTGTTTCCTCAGGTAAGTGCAGAGGGTGACACAGGCAAGAAGCAGGACTTGGGCACAGAATCCTTTGAGGTGGAAGGGATCTTTAAATGTCATCTACTCCAATTCTCCTGCAATGAACAAGGACATCTAGAGCATCTGCAGTGCTTCCCTTGGCCAGCCTGTGAGGGCTGAGGAGGATGGCAGGGGAGGATGGAGAAGGGCCATGGCAGAGGAGGGGGACCAGGAGATGACGAGTGAGGGATGTGAGGATGGAGCAGGGCGCATCAGGTGCCAGCTGGCAGGGATGCCCAGAAGGAAGAAGTGGCAGACAGGATGTGGGCTGAGGGAAGCTGCGAGGCAGGGCAGGCAGGTGTGGCCAGGCAGCCCTGCAACAGCCCGGCCCCTCTCTCAGCCCTGCACTCAGCCAGCCCCAGGTGGGTAGCCACAGGCATCTGCCTGTACTCTTTGGGGACAGGATGAGGGCTCTGCACTTGCTCAGCCCAGGAGAGAACTCATGTGATGATGAAGCCTGTTAGCATTCACCCCAGCCATTTTAAAACATCGCCTTTATTCCACCTCTGTGATCAGGCAGTGAAGAGTCCAGACAGCACCGCAGCCATTGCTGCAATGTGAGCGCTGGGAAGGAAACAAGGTTTCAAGGTTCAAAATAAGAGACTGCAAGCTTTGCTCGAGTTGTAAGCAATTGCTTGAGAAGCACTGTTAATTAAAAACAAAAACAAAACAAAAGAAAAATCAGCACTAAAAACCCCACAATTTATTCTGCACGCTCTTCCTGAAAATCAGTGAGTACCCAACATGGATTGGTACCTGCTTTGTAAGTCGTCCAGGTGCAATTTGCCTACATAATGGGTGGCTGATGAGACAGTGACGATCCTAGCGCTGTGACTGTGCGTTCCTGATTGCTTCAGCGTATCCAAGAGGAGGTTAGTCAGCAGGAAGTGTCCCAAGTAGTTCAAGCCAAAGTGCTCCTCAAACCCATCCTCTGTCTGCCTTTCAGGGACCAGCATCACCCCAGCTGAAGGAGAGAGGGAAAAACAATTGATTTATTTGAGAGGAGAAGCTAGACAGAAGGAGCATGGATCTCCTGCTGCACAAGATAAACATGGCATTTAGAGCAGTGAATGACTGCTGATGGCATGAGAAGTGTGAAGCTGACACTGACTGATTTCTGCTGAGAAAAATGTCAAAATCCCCACTTGCGTTCCTTTAGCCAGAAGCCAGGTAGAACAGCTCTCTCCCTCCCTACCTGCAGGACTACAGGGATAAATGAAAGGTGTGAAAGTGTTCTGAAAACATTAAAAACTGGTTTAACTCTCTGCTGGCATGCCAGAATTCAACACTGCAAGTCTTCAACAGTAATAATTCCACCTGGAAGAGGAGGGTGATCCCAACAACGCTCCCTCCATCAAAGAGCTCAGGAGAGCAGGGACAAGACCAAGCCAAGCAGCAGATCTGGTCACCCAGACAGCTTTCTGCTGAGCCCTGGCTGCAGTTTAAAGATCTGTTGAGTCTTTGTCTGAAATCTGCAACTTCAATCTCACTGTTATGAGTGAGAAAAGATGTTGTAAATTTACCCAGTATATATTAATTACTGTGTTTATATGCAGCTGCATATTGAAACAAATTTCTGAATGCTTATTTTGGCAATAGTTTTGCATATATTTCTAGAAACCACAATTTTCTAACTCAGCGCTTAAAATAAGCATCCACATCCCTCACATGAGATGTTGATTTCAGCATTTTGAAGAAAATCTTGAGCTAATGTGTGAACTGTACCATGTACTGAAGCTGTGTGGGGGTTAGCTATCTCACTCAATTATGAAGTGGATTTTAATGTTATAAATTATTCTTACTTTATTAAAATTTAATTATCACACGAGTGGACCTCACTTCTGTAATTTAAATGCAGATATACGTGGTTCATAGAGAATAACGTTGCAGGCCATTTATCTTCTCACTAATGCACATGACTGTGATACAGCAGAATGGCTTCCTCTGCTCACAGACATAAAAGGATCTCAGCTTTATCCTCACACTACTTCATGTGCCCATTAAAAACCCCTTAACTTACCGTTGCTTGACATCAGACCGATGATGGCATATTAAATTCCCTCTTAAAATTACTCATGCTGCCTGTCTGCATCTCTCCTTCTTTAAGAGGATTCAACCATCAGACGGCTTTGCTTTGCCACTGCGGCTCAGGTTGAACAGGTTGTACTTTCAAGATCTCTTTAGCATGGTTAATACCTATAGTTTCACCTGTAGATTCACCTACGGACTGCCAGCTGCTTAATGGACACGCATGTCAAAAATTGCTGGCACTGTGAGGAAGCGCAGTCCAGAGCAAAAGAAGAGCATTTTGTAGGAGTGGAGATTAGCCATGCTATTGTTGTGCTGCATTATGCAGTCAGGGGAGAGAATGAGCATGAAAAATGGGGAAAATTAAACGGTGAGAGGACATAAAGAAAATGCATAAACCTATGTTATGCATTTGTAAGATGGAAAAGAAAATGCAAGTGAGGAAGGGAGCATAAGACAACTGGAGAAAAAGAGCGAGTGAGTGAGGGGAAGTAAGGAGAGGAGAGACAGGGGTAGAATGGAAAGAGAACAAGAGAAAGGTTTGGGTGCAATATAGCACACGTGAACAAAGCCCTTCCTCCACTCTGCCAGCTGATGAAATGAATGAGAGAAACAAAGTGCAGATTACACGCCTGGCCTCGATGCAAGCTCTAACTGGTGTTATCTCTGTCATCACAACCACTTTCCCAGGTCCCTCAGAATGATGGGAAAACCCAGTCACCGGATGCGGTGTCCCTGCATGACAAATCTCATCTTTAATAATGGAGAGACACAAATTAGAGGCTGTCTGTCTGGGTGTCCCGCTGTATTCTCATTCCTCGGCAGCACTTATTCTGATGTATGGTGCAACTGCTCACATAGCTGTGGAACAAAAACATTTCCTTTTCCTCCAAAACTTGCAGATGTAGCATACATGACATCCGAAACAGAGCCCTCGACTAAACACTGATGTGAAGGTTATGGATGAACAGAAACTGAGGCAAGTTCTGTTGGAACTTGGAGCTGTCCTTTTTTCTGGGACGAGGAAAGGAGGGAAAGGCTGGGAGGGAACCAAAGTCTCAGCTGGCTGCAGTGTGAGTTTTAGCAGAGATGGAGTTTGGCATGAGCTGCTCGAAGGCAGATGGGAGCAGCACTGCATCTGTGAGTACTGGGGCTGGTACAAGGAAATGATTTGCACCTTTCCGGGGCTCATCCTGCCTTCCAAAACTCTGAAACTTGGAAAAGGAGAAAAACAGTTTGTATGATATATATTAGCAGCAAAACAGATCAAGTGGAAGTCCAAGACAGAAAAAGAACAAAGAGCAGCCCTTGCACAGCAAAGCAGATGTGATCCCCAAATGCTGCCTCTTGGTCTCCCTGAGCTTTGGATCACTATAAGGCCTTCCAGTAAGCATACAAATTTCTGCTGGCAGAGTCAGATGGAGGGACAGAGGAATTTGTCCAGGGAGAAATGCTGCAGGTGGCTGCTACAGCTATTCAGCTGTACCATAGAATCATTAGGGTTGGAGAAGACCTTCAAGATCATCTAGTCCAACCATCAACCCAACACCACTATGTACACTAACCATGTCCCTCAGTGACACATCTACACGTTTCTTGAGCACTTCCAGGGACAGAGACTCTACCCCCTCCCTGGGCAGCCTCTGCCACAGTCTCAGCGCATTTTTTGAGAAGAAGTTGTTCTTAATATCCAACCTAAACTTTCCATGGTGCAAATTACAGCCAGCCTGCAATGGCTGTGCAGGCCACCATCGCTCCCACTGGCCCTACTCTGCACTGACTCCCCTGAGCTGAAATGCAGTCAAGTGCTTGAGCAAGCACAACCACTCTCACTTGGGTTTGCTGCTGGCACAGTTCCCTTTTTCTCTTCAAGATCAGATCAAATTCTATTAATCTAATAAAATCTTTGAAAGACAGAGATTTTTTTAAAACATCTTTGACGTGGTTCATACCAAGGCTTTCAAAAAATGATGCTCTGCAATTTGAAGGCACTTTCTCTCAGTTGAGGAGAAGCCATTTTAATTCGCTGAGAGTGAGTTTGCAAAGCAATACTCAACAGAAAACTGAACTTGGCTACTTTTCTGGCACAAGGAAAAAACATTCTTCTTTTATTTTTTGTTTTTTTAAATTATTAACTACCTAACATTCAGTAGGTACTAAAAGTGACATGCTATTGATTTTCCTTTGTCCAGAAATGTCATCAGCTTTACTCAAGGGCCTGAAAGGTAACTCAAAGAATGAAAGCTGCTTCTATTTTTAATTCTTTAAATTAATCCAATACTATTTTGTATGTATTTTTCTTTTTCCTTTTTTTTTCCATCCTACCTATTCACTATGAACTAAGAATGGTTTTGCTTATTCTTCCAGTGCAAAATACTACCAAATATCTGTCTGATTTTAATTACCATTAGTCAGTCTCTGTTTTTTTTGGAGTGCATGCAAAGTTTGAAGAGGCAGCATGCAGTCCATTAGTTCCAAATGCCTCAGTTCTGATATAACCCTCCTTTATATTCTTTCCTCAGATTTAGTTAGGTTGTTTTCAGACAAAAAAAAAGTGCCACTGATAGGAGCATGACATTAGGAAATGAATTAATAAATAAGCTGAGAATGAGCTTTTGCTTTGCAGTTGATTAGTTGTTACTGAAATGTTCAGGAAAGAGGCTGACAGCTTGCATGTAGAAAACTGCCAGAATGACACACTGATGTGCGATTTTGCAACTATGCTGAGTGACTGTTCTTATTACAAAGTAATACATTCCAATGTGCCACAGTTATTTATGTATTACAATTTGTAACCTAACTAATTAGCTATAACATTTTTTTAAAAAAGCTATCATTTTATTAAAATGAGTAGGCAACAGAGAACAGAGGATATTTTTTCTCAAAGAATGAATATAACTCAAGAGAACTGTCTTTGCAATCATTCATCTATCATGACTGCCTATAAAAATTTCCAATGAAGCTATCTGGGATCCATCAATGAACTAGTCTTATGTGATTGTAACAGTATAATGAATCTAAAAAGTATAAGTTTATGAGAGATGAAAACATTACTGCCCAGGCATACCACATTTTTATTGGCTTATATAAGAAGATTTGTATCATGCTTGCCTGTGCTGCAGATGAAGGTAAGCACTGCTGTAATTCCCGTATCTCCAGCTGCACAAAACATCCTTCAACTCTACTACAGATTTAAAAATACAAGTATTCCATTTGTTAAGATTTATTTACAGTGAGCTACTTGGAGGTTTTAAAGCTACTTCTCTCAAAAACACTTAAAATAAATTAAAGATAACATGGGTAAGATTTAAAATCTCTCTTCCAGATGCAGATCAAAATGCCTTTCTTCCTAGACAGCTCATGGAGCTACATTTGGATGCAGCATCCCCACATGTCGGCCTGTTATTCCTGGCAACCTAGAGGACTGGCCAGCAGTACAAGAGATCAGTTGCATGAGTGATGCCTTCACAGCAGGAGAAGAACCTATATAACCACATTTACCTAATTCTTGCTGTTTGCAAGAGACAGGTTCTCAAGGGGAAAAATGAAGAGAAAGCATTACTCCAAAGGAAAGAGCAAAGCCTTTTCTACAAACAGGTTTTGTGTTTTTTCCCTGCATGAGTGCAGGCACATAGGGCAAACCTCTTCACTGATTTCTCAAATTGCACTAGGTTGCACATGCATACACCAAAAGTTCTACCAGTGGGTCTTTCTAGCTATACATCACCACAGTCTAATTCTCTCCTAAATATGCGATAGTGAACACCACCACCTAAATTTTATGCTGTAGCATAAAGATCTAGGTGTCACCTAGAGTCCTAACAAGGGACCAGACCCTCAGACACCAGGGCATCTGTCTGTCCTCAGTGGTGGGACAGTCTTAAGCATTTGTGGACATACCTTGGAAGGGATTGGACACCTGAAAGTAGGTTTGTT